CTTGCTCCGGTTCGTTCGGTAAGTGAAACCAATGAAATGGTTTGGTTATGGTTCACTTCACTGGTTTTTTTGGATGGCAACCAATTTGGTAATTTTCCCTAAGGCTTAATGATTAAGCAGGTTTGTGCGTTGACACATATTCAAAACGTGCAAACAAAATTCCATCTGAAACGTGTCAAAATATAATGGAAATTTTATATCATCTGGTCTAGAAATTACGTAATTGTCTTATCGAATAAAACCATATTTGCACATGCTTCTCAATGTAATGAAAATTATCAAAATGAAACTTTAGGCGGAAAAATAGCACAGAAACTAAAATGCAAGAAAAATAGAGTTTTCATATCAAGCTAACAAGTAATTTTAAGAAGAAACACAATAATATTGTGGATTGATATGAAGTACGGTTTAAAAATAGCCTTTTAATAGGACCTAATAGGTTCAACAACAACAATAACCTAATAAGTGTAGTATTTGCTATTTACACTTTTTACGCAACGAAAAATGGAATTTTTGATAAAATAGAAGAAAAAACTTGTTATTCCCTCAAAATTACAATTCGAGCGTCGAATTTAAAAACAGACAATCCTTGATATTCTCAAATATATTATTCTGCCATAAATAAAGAATGTGATAAAAAAATACTTTTGCAAATTCTTTTGAATTGTTTATGCGTATTTAAGTGTATATAAACCGCAGCTTTTCTATATGAAATAAACTAATTGGTTTAGTTACTCTCTAACGTCTAAACTTTCGACACAGCTTCGAATATTTCAAAGGAAAAAAGACTAAAAAAAAATGTTCAATCCAAAATTGTTCGTGTCATTTTTGATCGGGTTCATGGTTTTTGGGGTAAGGTCTTTAGAAAGTTTGTCAAATTTTCAACTCAGTTAATAATCATTTTCTTCCTACGTAGCTCGTCATTTTCAACGTTAATGGACACGAAGGTGGCAAATCTAAGAATGAAAACAAAGCTGAAGCATCGTTCCCAAAACAATTTGAAACTTTGAAAGAATCCTTGGACCATCAGGATATTTCAGATCCGGCGACACTGAAGCGTATCGAAATCGCAA